AACGCGGTCTGCGTCGCCTGGCTTTCCAGAAACGGAGTTCCGCAGCAGCTCTTTCGGCCGGTGCTCGGGAAGATGGGAAACCGAGCCGAAAAGTCTTCAAAGCCTCCCCGGAAGCCATGTGTGATAGGCCGGGAGCCCTGTTGATAGGACGGGCGCGGAGTAAACGGGCAAACTCTACAATGCCGTATATTCACATGTCTATCTTATGCTACTGTACCGAGTCCCCGATACGAACAGACACAGAACAAGTACCGGTAAACTCTACCGCACGTGCGATGCGCTGGTGCCATGAGGTCCCATCGAATGACGTTGACGACACCTTCTCCACTGCATATCAGCTCATCATCCTATCCCGATGGGACAAGGGGGGGGGGGGGGGGGGGCAGCCATTCGGGACAGCCATTCGGGTCCGCACCCATCACTTACTGTAGCGCCCGTCCGAGAACGCGTCGGCACATGTCGAGGTTTGTGGATGGACCCGTGGATCCGGTGGCTTCTGATAATACACGTACTCGTAGAATGCCGTGCCTGGTGCTTTGTAGTATGTGCGCCTGTTGCCTTGTAGATGTACCGTAGTATCGGCCTTCACATGAATCTGAGAGACGCATGTAGCTCTCCAACCAATCATTGGTCAATTCAACTCGATCCATTCAACAGGCTACATTACTATATTGAAGAGAAATGTACAATTAAATCAGACAGCAAAATCGGCTCCTTCCAAATAGTTCAAAACAGCCATCCCTGAGAAACACCAAGCAAGATTATCTCGGCCGCCTAAATCTTGGCCACGCAAAATAAAGCCAATCAATCAATCAAAATGGGATAAGCGCCATCGAAACGCCCTGATCCATCCATATATCATCTATCACCCCTCACTGGGTTGCCGTCTGAACACCCGGTCTGTTCCATGTTCTTACATGGCCTATAAAGTTTGATTTCTTTCGTCAGCCAATGAAACCAGTGCAGTTTATCAAGATATAAGATTTCACGCCTTACCTGACTTGCAGCTCGTGATAACGGCATCCTCGGTGAACGCTAACCAACAAGCGGGGTGGGTATCAACCACGTGCGTCTATAATGGGTGGGATTAGTTGGTGCAGATCTCCTAGGTGTATTTCCGAATTACTTACAAGGACAGGCGGCAGCATTGGTATCACTGCACGAGGCTGAACGGGGTGAGCAATCACATTCTCCTCCCACTCGTCTTCCAAGCCAGAACTACCCTTGCCCCCGGAATTAACAGAGGTGTTGGTATCTGTTCTGTGCGGAGCCGTGATTCTCGATGATACGGATCCCCGATGGCGAGCCGGCACCTGTAGAAAAGGGGGAAAGAGTTAGCCTCCATCACATAACATGCATTCCCTGACATGGCTATCAACTTACGGCAGTCTTTGGCCGGTGAAGCATGCCGACGCTGAAATCCCAAAGACAAAGTCGCCCATCCTCCCCAACACTACCAAAGCGGTAGTTTCGGTCGTCGCATCGCCATGGGTCAAATGCAAGGTGAGATACCCAAGATCGGTGGCCTTGGCACCGGGCAACCAGGGCCGAGTCGGCCATTGACCAAATAGATATCAAGTCATCCTGGCCTCCAGTGAGGACGTATTTGCCGTCTGGCGTCCAGCAGACGCATGACAGCCCTCCGTAGTACGAGTAGTATAGATCCAAGAGCCTACTCATCAGTTAATATGCCAAACAATGTCAATAATACCCCACGTGCATTATAGGCCTGCTTACTCTTCTTTAAGATAATCAATGACTCTCAGCGTTCCGTCTTCTGATACCACTGCGAGATGTCGATTATCGGGCGAAAACGCAAAGGCATTTATCCGCTGGTTCGACAATTTCCACGCAGCCACCGGGTTGGTCTTTTGGTTTTTGGAGTGCACCGACTTGTTGATTCTGATGCCATTGCCATTCGCGGATCCGTTTGAGAGCTCGCCCTCGCTGCCGCTGCCGCTGGCATTTAGTCCCTCTTCCTCGGGATTCAGGTGGCCATCTTCCTTCTCTTTGTCATACACTACGAGCAAACCATCCATATGGGCTGCCAAGAACAGGTTTTCGGAGCCAGGAATCCATCGAATTTCGGATACGGGCGTGTTGTTGATTATTCCCTAGCTTAATATCAGTAGAGTTCTCAGTCAATTGGCATGTAATCATCCTTACGTTCTTGTTGAGACGTGTATATCGCTGGGAGATGGGCTCCCACCAGATGATCTCGCCGGTGGAGAAACCCATAATCACATCAATATGCGAAACGCTCTTTGTCACCATGTTGACATCGTGGCATAAACAGTGAGCCTTGGTGAAGAGGATCTTTGTCAAGTAATCTTGCTATAATCAGTGTTAGCCCACCCAAGCAAACCACTGCAGCCAGTACCTATGCGTAGCTACAACTCACCTTGGTAGGTGATGACATGTCTAGCCACTGAAATGCTCGGTTAATGTTGGCAAAAGCAAAGAGGCCATCAGACGGGCGATCCGTCAGCTTTCGCGTGAGATTATCATTAACAATGACGCGCGAGATGAAGGAAGAGTTGCTCTTGGTGACATTATTCTTGGGCTTCTTTTTCTTGTTGATGTCCTTGGACACGGTGGGTGCCAGGAGCGAATTGCCTTCTCCAAATGCTGGCGCAGATCCCATGGTCACGGAGCCGGTCGGCACTTCGCTTGATGCCGCGCGGCCATCCTCACTACTCATACCCCCCTCGGTCGAGTATCTCTCGCTGGGGTGCTCCTGAATGCTCGTGGTCCCGCCCAATGACAGCGTCGTAGCAGAGGGGCCCTTGTAGAAGAAAGGAGCTGGTCGCGTTTCCAAGCTCAGGATCGACATTTTCGTTCCCGCAGTCGCAGGCTTTGGATCTGTCGCCAGCGGATTGGGATTGACCACGGGCGCTTCGGACGGATGAGGCGGCGGCGTTGCCAGATGCAGGTCTTCCTTGAGTACGTATGTTCCTATGGGCCGTTCGGTCAACTACAGACCCCGAATCTGCACAGCCGCAACATGTCCGACTTACCCTCTCCGACCAGAAACTGGTATTCAGGACCGCTCGGGTTCGACAGCGTGTTGTTGGTCTCGATTAGGGGCACGACTCCCCCGAGGCCGATGCCATAGGCGCCTGCGGGATATCGTGGAGGCGGTGGCAGAACACTGCTCTTGTCAGTCGCGAACGCCGTATCGGACATAACCTGAGAGGCCGGGAGATGGCTAAAACGCACAACATATTGGCGGATTATTGAAAGTACGAGTCGTAAAGCACAATGCCCGTTCCAGCGAGGTCTTCTAGATATGGATTGCGCCCCGTGTCTGGCAGTCGTCGGTCGAGATGAATCGCAGTTGTCGCGCAAAGATGCTCGCTAATCGCTATCGCTATGACGAATGTGCGCCCCGAATGCCGACTATCTACAGCACAAATGAAGAAACCGAGACGGAGAGACGGTGGCCGGGCGAGTGAAGGTGCTCGTGAGCGTTTCGTAACGGGATGGCCAACCTAATGAACCGAGAGCTGGATCAGGACATTCTCTAGAGGCAAGAAGGCGGACGTATTTGCGCCGGGGGGTCTTTATCCGGAGAGCTGATAATATGGGCGGACTAGGACAAGGTTGGAGGAATAGCGTCTTGAGAGTGTGGGGTAAGGAATTCGCAGTGGGGAAGCAACAGTTGACGATTGAATGGTTGGACAGCCACTTTAACCACTAAACCCTAAGATGGCCAGTGATGCTCTCATGCAGGGCGATGCGAGCAAATAGGGATGTTGTCCGTGCTTTGGTATGGAGTGCGGTGCTCCGTATTTGGCAAAGCCATCGTGAGATGATGCTGCAGTACTCGTACAGCATCCATGTGAAGGTCGAAGGATTGAGAGATTGGATGAAATTAGACAATAGGCTCATGTACAGCCCAGGTCGCCATGGAGGCCCGATGAATGCAGGTACATGCAAATAATCGAAATTGCCTCACTGGACACATGTAGCTCTTTCTAACATTGAAGCACAGGAGTGCCACAGAATACACGTAGGTACATACATCTGCACAGCATCGGCCAACTGCTGATTGGGCCTCTGTGCACACCACTTCAGCGCCTGCTAGGGGTCTGCAACAGGAACTGCAGCCACTAATACCTTGTAGCACCTCAGGTGGCCGCTCAGCGCTAAACCAGCACGTCCCTCCCACGTATCATGCGTCACCGCCTGCCAAATCAGCCCACGAGCACCCAACTGCCCCGCGGCAATTTAGCTGCACGTCGAGCGATGCGGCTTGTGACGTGGAAGCACTAGATTTCATCTCGCAGCTCCGGCTCCACAAGACTCCAAGCTTCTGCTCCTACATATTGGCGCCTGAGCTGTTCGATAGATACCCTGGAATTCGCTGCTTGAGGACATGGCCTCGAGGTAGCCTTGGCTTAGCAACCCGGCATTGTCTTGAGAGCTTGCGCGATGCCTACCGCAGGTGAGAGAACTCGACCCGGCCCGTTTCCGGCTCTGTGTGCTCCGAAGGGTCATGGGAACCATGATGCTAGGAATATCTACAGGTACTCTACGTGACTGAACTAGAACTGACCTGATGTGTTTATTCGCTCAGTGAAAATTTGCGTCTGCGGCGACGAGAGCACGGGCAAGTCGAGCCTGATTGCGTCTCTCGTCAAGGACCAGTTTATGACCAACAAGATCCAGCCTGTCCTGCCTCAAATCACCATTCCGCCGAGCATTGGAACACCAGAGAATGTCACTACGACAATTGTTGACACTTCGGCTCGACCCCAAGACCGAACGACGCTGCGTAAGGAGGTCCGGAAATGCAATGTCATTCTGCTTGTGTATGCCGATCATTACAGCTACGAGCGTGTCGCCCTCTTCTGGATGCCCTACTTTAGATCACTGGGTGTCAATGTCCCAGTCGTTTTATGTGCGAACAAGTCGGATCTGGTGGGCCAGAGCAGTACATCGCAAGTCGTCGAGGAGGAGATGCTTCCCGTCATGGCCGAGTTTAGAGAGATCGACTCGTGCATCAGAACCAGCGCAAGGGAGCATCGCAACGTCAACGAAGTCTTCTTTTTGTGCCAAAAGGCCGTGACACACCCTATTGCGCCCCTCTTCGATTACAAGGAAGGCCATCTAAAGCCTTCTTGCGTCGAGGCCTTGAAGCGAATCTTCTTCCTCTGCGATAAAAACCAGGATGGCTATTTGGATAATAATGAAATGCGAGACTTTCAATCTCGCTGCTTCGACAAACCCCTTACGGACGATGACCTCGAAAACATCAAACTCTCCATATCAAAATCCCTAAGAGGCGATGTAGACTTGTCAAAGGGTATCAACCTGAAAGGCTTTCTGCAATTAAACAAAATGTATGCAGAGAAAGGTCGACACGAAACCATCTGGATTATCTTGCGCAAGTACCACCATACGGATAGCTTGAGTCTGGAGGAAAACTTTCTGCATCCCAAATTCGAGGTTCCAGAATTTTGCTCGGCCGAGCTCAGTCCCGCAGGGTACCGGTTCTTTGTGGATTTATTCCTGTTATTCGACAAGGACAATGATGGTGGTCTCAATGATGAAGAGCTTGAGGCGCTCTTCGCTCCTACCCCTGGGCTGCCCTCTTCTTGGGCCGATTCTTTCCCATCCTCGACGGTTCGAAACGAAGGCGGATATATCACTTTACAAGGCTGGCTGGCTCAATGGAGCATGACGACGTTTCTGGAACCCAAGACAACTCTGGAGTACCTGGCATACCTCGGATTCGAGCCTCCCAACCCAAAAGAACCCATCACCTCAGCACTCAAGGTTACAAAACCGCGCAAGAGGCGAAGGCGACCAGGGCGTGTTGAAAGGAATGTCTTCCATTGCTATATTCTCGGCGCGTCAGGAGCCGGCAAATCATCTCTCCTAGACGCTTTTCTCAATCGTCCGTTTGACGACTTGTACCACCCGACCATTAAACCACGTCGAGCAGTCAACAGCGTGGAACTTCCTGGTGGAAAGCAGGTCTACCTCATTTTCGAAGAGCTTGGAGAGCTTGAGCCGGCTATTCTAGAGAACCAGGCAAAACTAGACGCTTGCGACCTCCTTTGCTACACGTACGATTCATCCGACCCTGATTCGTTTTCTCACATTGTGGACATACGGAAAAAGCATCCCCAGCTAGACGAGCTGCCATCCGTTTACACCGCTCTTAAGGCAGATAGAGACAAAACCATGCAGCGGAGCGAGCTGCAGCCTGACCAGTACACGTCGTCTCTTAACATGAGCTCGCCCTTGCATGTCAGTGTCACATGGAACAGCATCAGTGAGCTGTTTGTCTCCCTTGCTGAGGCGGCGGCGAACCCAAGCACCGCATTCCCTAAGACTGACGATGACTCACCTGATCGGACAAGCTTGTATCTTACTCTGGGAGCAACGGCTTGCGCGGCGATTGCGGCTGTTATGATTTGGAGGCGGTCGACAAACGCCATGTAACATCCTGGTACAAGTTTTGACGACTTTTTGGATCCATAGCGTTTCTCTATCATACAATGGTCGCAGCGGCTGTGTGCCAGCCAGTTCTAAGGATACGGGTAGTGTTGGTAATTTATGTGTAGGACGGCGTTTCGTCTTGGTGGTGGTTCCTGGGAAGCAAGCAGAAATTAGATTGGAGCTTATGATACCCGGTTTACAGATACAGATATGTTAGGTACTGTTTCATTTTCTAGTGGTTTTTATTGAATACGAATATGTAGAAGAAACAAAGATTGGCATTAATTCCACGGCATTAAAAAAAAACGAGCTTCAAATGCATCGATGTAGAGCAAAAAGCAATAAACTATACTTTGTAAAAGCAAAAGCCAACATAAAGGCTTGCGGCCTCCATCTCATCCTCCGAGACGAGAAGTCTTCCGCCGCCTCTCTCACGGACTCCCATCCTCTCGCTCAGCGGTCCAAGCTCCGGATCATCCTTCTCCGTCTCCCAAATCTCCAGAAAGGGCCTGTGGAATTGCAGTTCCAGGTTAAAGTCCTCGGCCAACGCACGGAACGCCTCCCAAGGGACGACGTATTCGGGGACTTCCTCGACGGCCTCATCCAGGAAGAAGTTGTACTTCCAGCCAAACGCGGGACGGAAGACACCATCTTCGGGGGTCTTGCCTGGGAATCGCACGCGGTAGATTGAGTTACCCCATTCGGCCGTTGGTTCGGCCTCGCCCTCTTCAAGCTCTCCGTCTTCAGGCTCTGCGGCGGGAGGCGGCGTAGAAATAGGGGTCGTAGAGCCGTCGCCGTTGACCTCCTTGGCCTCGCGTTTGGCAGCCATTTTGGCATTGAAGGCGCGGACTCGCTCGCCGAGCACGTCCGAGTTGGGGATGCAGCCGATGAAGCGGCCGCCCTTCTTGAGCGCGCCGGCGACATTACGGAGCATAGTGCGAGCGTGCTTTTCGGACTCGAAGGCGTAGTGCATGCAAAACATCATGGTGACGACGTCGAAGCCACGGCGGTTCATGGTAGACGGGTCAAAGCCGACTTGCCGGATGATTTCCACATCCTCAATACTCTCCGAGTAACAGTCTTTGACGTGGAACCGCGCATCAAAGAGACGAGGCGGAGGTCTGCCATGTCGTCCGCCACGACCTCCTCGACCTCCACGAGAGCCCATTTGCCTGTATCGGTCTCTTGCCTGCTCAATACTGACGTTGGCAGGGTCCAGGCCGACGTAGAGCTGGATAGGCTGTGGCGCTTGCTGCCATTTGCTCAGATCACCGCCCTTTCCGCAGCCGATATCGAGAACAAGGAGTTCTCTGCCGCTCGACCGGCCCATTTCTCGCGATCCGGGCGTGTGGTCTTCATCGGGCGAGTAGCGCTGGATGATGCAGCTCTTGACCCAGTTGTTGAAGACGCGCAGGCCCTTGATCTTGCTCTCGCGGGTGCGCCAGTCGCGTCCTCGCTCGGGCACGCTGTTGTAGTGTTCTCTAACGACATCGTTGATGCCTCGGATCTTGTTTTCCTCCGCAGCCTGGGAGGCAGCGGCCTGGGCGGCTTGACGATCGCGTTCGATCTGGCGCAGGCGGATGGCCTCTCGCTCGGCCTCGGAGAAGCGAGCGCGCGCTCCTGGGCGCTTCAGCTTCCGCGGCTGCTCGGATGGAGATATGGCACGTCGCTTGGGTGCCTGGAGGGAGTTGGCATTGTATGGCTGGGGCAGATCGTCGTTGACGTCGTCTTCAGCTGATCGCTTGTGGCTTCTCCTCGCAGGGGGAGAAGAATCGGGGTCGGAGCGGCTAGCCATTGCCAAATGCAATGTTGGGATGGATTTCGGTCTCTTTTCTTAGATTCAGGTATTTATTTTTGAGGTTCTGGTTCAATTGGAGGTGTATACAATGTGTTTGTTGATGAAGAAGCAAATTTTGAGAAGTTGTTGAGTGGATGAAGTGCATGCTGAGGCTCTGCCGCCCCAAGTTTGATAAGCGGCTGATAGCGGGAGCTCTGCCGTAGCCTGTGCTCCAGCTACACCTGCTGCCCACACCATGTACCGTCTACAACTAACTTTACTTCATGCATGTAAACACAAATTGCAAATATTAATGCGATATAGCAAAATAAATACTGTAAATCTATTGACGCATCTCATGATAGAATAAAGCAAAAGACATGATCCCCACACTATCAATTTGCTCTCTTAAGATATAAGGGTAAAGAGCCAATCTGACGAGGGTACAAAACAACCGTTGCAACAGTTTTGTCTGGCCGACAGGTGTTACTCTCTATATTAATCTCAAAAGTGTTCAGCGCTGCTTGAGTCGCAATATCCTTGAGTTCTCCCAGTGTCTTCCCGGAATTGTGCAATTGTCTCAAGGTCATGTCGCGACATTGCCATACTCTGTTCGTCGCCATTGTACTGGGGCCTGGGTCAGGTAGTATTGAGTCAACAATAATTATTCGCGCGTCGCTACTCATACTATCATAAATTCGCTGTAGAAGATTAATGATCTCTCCGTCCGACAGGCGATGAATGACTCCTGCCAAGAGATATACCTCAGCACTGTCAATAAACCAATCGTTTGGTGCTTCGTAGTCTATGAATTGGCCTCCAGTCAAAAGAGCAGGGTTTTTCATGCGCATGGAACCCTGCATTACTTGAGGACCATGAAATCGGAAATCAACATGAGGGAATAGCTCGGTCAACTCCCGACACCACGGGCTGCATGAGCTAAGCTATAAGTCCATGTATGATATGTGTCAGTAGCTCGTTGTCAGTAAAAGAAAATCTCCCAGAGAAAGGTACTTACATCTACAACACGCGCTCCTTTTCCCAGGGAAGACCAGTTAATGGTACCGTGAACCACTTCGGCCCAATGGGCTGCTAAAAGGCTGTGGCTGCGGCCATTGTCAAATACATTCATTAAGCAGTCGTATCCGCTGGTCTGGTCATGCTGGCTGAGGTGTTGATCAAAAGATATCTCATGACCAGAAGCAAGATTCCAAGCTGCCTCATTTTTCTCCTGTGAGCCTTTCCATCTCATTGTTGTGTCCACTATTTTCGCTGAAGCTGGCATGACTGTGTCACAGAAAAAGGGGAGGCCGTGAAGGAAATTTTCATCTCTGGCCAGTATTGACGAGAAACGGTTGTGGCGAACCGCATCTCCTGCTCCTGCTCCTCTTCTGCTTCCTATTCCTCCTCCGCATTCCAAGAAAACTTTATACGCCATGGCCATTCGTAACATTCGCATAAGCTCAGAAGCAGGGACATTGGCTTTTTCTGCCAGAGATTTGTATGTTACGGCCTTGTCTTTCGGAACGAGATCAAATATTTTGAAATGAAGGAGCCATTTGAGAGCCGATACAAACTGGACCTGTGGGCTGACATTAGCGCTATATGGCAATAACTTCAATCGCCTTGATCGGAATACTGCAGCAAATTTTTCGATCTTACCTGAGATAATGCGAGTGATATCATCTTGGACGGTCCTGCTACTTGGTCAAGTAGCTTGAGTGCAGAATCGATTATCGTCTCTCTAGCATCAACGACATGACATGGCATTTGAGGTAACAGCTTTGAACGGTCTCCATGAAGATATCTATCGAAACCGGAGGTCGTAAGTAGCATTCCGTGTTCGATCTGATATTGTTCCCATGTTTTCACCTGAGTGGTAATCTCTTTGGCAAGGCGGCCCATGCTACCTTTTAATGGTGCGGCATCTTCCGAATCCATAGTGGTATCTGAATCCATGGATGTCTCTGAGTCCATGATGCTTGACTGTGAACGAGATGGGAATCAGATGAGAAGGTGGCGGGCTCGTTTGAGATGTGTTTGGATAGTCTACTGATAGTTAGCTATATGTATTCAGATCCAAATAGTCACACTCATTTTATGTCAAAGGTAAAATAAGTATCTTATTAAAGGGATCTCAATAACCATATTCACATCCTAATCGACTAGATTCTTCAATTTCAGTGACTTGTTAGTTAGTACGCTTTGGCTATTTACTTGAGACTTGGCAGCAGGATTAAGCTGCTGACATACCTGCGTTGGTCCCGCAGGTAGCCTCACTCGGTGTTTGGATAGTGGTGACTGAGACCGTCTTGCAACTGTACGTACATATCATCGTCGATTAACTATGGGAGAGAATATGTAACATCCCAAATTAACTATCCAAGGCCCCAGTGTAGCTTTGGAGTTCGAGTGTCCATAACAAGATGGAGAGGGAATTACCTTTTACCTTTTACCTACTATGCTTACATGCCCGATTCCTTGGGTAGCTTATCTGCTGACTTGTGTAATCTTCTGTAGCTGTTGGTACTCTTTGTTACTATCGTTACTCTTTTCCAGTATCTGCTACTATATCTATATTTGTCGAGCATCTGCTACTCTAGCCATGTTTGTCTGGTAGCTAGTAGCATACAATTAACTTCAGACACAAGGTACTGAAAAAGCAGACTTGAGGTGTTGCGTAACTACTCTCCTAATTATCTTTCTAGAGAAAAGATGCTGTCGCAGCATTGAATGCACAGGCTCGACACATCGCGTATAGCAGCCGTCCGAGTTCAGTTCACGCGACAGAAACGGCATCATTCATTGCAACATCTTATGCGCCACAACTCAGCTACCCAAACGGGATAAAATATTGAACTCTAATTTAGCGCTCCCCTTATTGGCAAATTGGAGTAGAATTTGCCGCTGTGCCCGCACCGCCATTAATTTTTTTTACTTTCTTTGCCAAATGCAACATTTCGTCTGTAGGGTGTGTGTGAGGGGGAACATTGAGAGATAGGGAATGGTGATTACATAACGGATGGGGATGGAGGAGCAAGTCCTCCCACACACGCCAAGCACATGCAGTGGAAATTAAAAGCAAAAAGACGGGCTGATAAAAAGGAAAAAACCTGAGTGGCCCAGTACCGGAGAATGCTGGGATCCTCTGCCCCGTGGGGTAAAATATCATCGGCCCACTCCAACTCCTCCCCCACACAGGAAACGGCAGGCCATGAGCTAGAGACAATCCATCACCGTCCATTAGACTGATAGCTTCTGTCTGTAATTATAACATGTAAGAAACAGGCAGATAAGGAAACAGAAAAAGAGACACAAGAGGCCTATCTTGATCAATTTGCCACTGAAGTGACCACTGCTTCCGGGTCTAGAGGCTCTGTCTGCCATTGCAACTGCATCCTTCGTGCCACAGAGATTAATTACTAGTCCCCATGCCACCACGGTGGGCCAGCAAGCACGCAGATATTACTACATAGACTCAACTAGCTGGACGCCTTGTCAAGCTTGAGATCGCAGGCTTGCCGAGGCCGGCCTAGCACGCGCACCAGGCCAGGCAAAATCCGCAGGCTCGGCTCAAAGCTGGCTTCTCCTTAGTCGTTTGTAGTACGAAATCAATACTCGTACGTCAGGGCCAAAAGTGCCTAGCCGTGCCGCGTACTCGTACAGTACCTACTAGGTACAGGTAACTGTCGTTGTGTCATATCCGGGGCTTCACCTTTTTGCCTTTCCCCCTCTCCTCTCCACGGCCGGCATCTAGCTTGTGTCTGTGGCTTGTTCTCCAGCTGCTTCCCCTCAGCTTCCCCGCTCAATCCAACCCTGGCCCTTGTACATCCCGTATCCCAAGACATTCCGGTTTACTGTACTTCTCCCTGTCCATCAACTTGGCCGTCATTTGGCATTAGCATTAGCATTCGCATTCGCATTAGCATCAGGATTGGCAGTGTCGTCCATTGTCGCTCGCCATTGCCTCGGCCACCGCTCGCTTTCTGCCGGCCAAAAAAGCACATGTCGTTTGACAGCCCTGGGGCCGACATCCAAGCGACGCCCGGCCTTGCATTTACCTTTTTTTTTTTTTTTTTCGCTGCCATCTCCAACCCCAACGGATGACGGCACGCGACCGATGAGCCAAACACAACGCCGTTGAGCTGGTCCTTTGCCCCGATACTACGGATTACTGCACTTGGCCTGCCTCCAAATCGGGGAAGTTGTACCTTGTGCCGGCTCCACGCTGTAGCCGCCTGGGGTCCTGGTTCAATCCAAGTGTATCGCTCGCTTTGCCTGGCCGGATCAAGTCGCCGGGCTCTTTTCTTGTTCGCCTGTGCTGTGTGCTCCATCACATCTCGCCTCGCCTCGCTCCTTCATCTGCAAAACAAACACCCGCGGCCAGCCGAACCTTGCTGAAGCACGCCTGCGGCTCGCCTCGACTGACTTGACTCGACTCGTCTGTCTGATGAGCCAGCCTCGATTGCTGCTTGCTGCTTGTCCATTGTTGATTGGGCTCGGCCTCTCTCCCTCTCCCCAGTCGGCTACATAGTCGGTCACCTCTTTTCCTCCTCCTAGCCACTGTGGTTGCAGATAGCAGACCGAGTGCGAAACCCGGCTGACCCCACACTGCTGTTTCCTCTGGGCCGTGTCTCTCATCTCTGTCAAGGTCGGACGGATCCTGTTGATACTCTATCTGTTGTTTATTCGAGCTGCCGTTCCTTGATTGCTTCCCATTCCCCCATCCCCCACATCCTCCACCCCCAAATCCCGTCGCCGTTGTTGCTTCGTTGCTCCTTGTCACTTATACCATACCTTGACGGCCTCGCTTCTGCTCGTAATGCTCCCGCTCCAGACCATGGACGGCCCGGTCGTTCTGCCACCGCCAGACCAATCCAGTGCCCTCGCAATTGCCGAGGTGGGCGAGAATCGCAACCAGAAGCCCAAGACATTGCCTTGCAAGTACTGTAGCAAGCGCTTCAGGTCAGTCTAGCCCGCTCTGCTCCGCATCTGTCCAACTCTGCTGCTTCGTGCTGTGTTGCTCACATGACCTCTTCTCCTCGAGTTACAGACGCGTTGAACATGTCCAGAGACATGAGAGGACTCATACCAAAGAGAAGCCCTTCTCATGTGGCTGGGACCGTTGTGGGAAAACCTTTGGGCGACGGTAAGAGCAATTCGTTTCCCCCCATGACCCTGTTTGCCGTTTTCCTTGCACCTTCAACCAATTCCCCTCCCTCAGCCGTATGTCCGTAAGTACCTACATAACCCATGGCGTGGTTCAGCATGAGGTGATGCGATGCTGTGCCTTTTTTATGTGGTGCTTGTACCCATACGAGTACCCGCGCCTCCTCATTGCATTACATATCCCCCCTTTCCCCTCTTCCAGAGTGTCACCTCTAGCCTCACCCTAAGCTTCTTGCCTAAGCTTCAACTTTGCTATTTTGCTCGCCTTGATCCACTTTGCACTTCCCACCTCCTCGCTGCACTTACACGGTCCCCGCCTTGCGTTGGGTTATACTGACTTATATGGACATCAGCGATCTTCTCGTCCGGCACGAGAAGCTTGTTCACCTAAACGAAGGGCATAAAGATGTCTCCAGGCCAAGGAAGCTCTCTGGCACGTCTATGCACAAGCCATCTCTGTCCGATGGCCATGTCGACCTCGATGTCATGGGGATTCACCGGCTGCGGCCACCCCCTCCGCCTCCTCCTACCACAACCACACTGCTTCCCCCTCAGCCATCACCGCCGCAACAGCAGCAGCAGCATCAGCCCCAGGCGCCTCCACCGCCATATCATCACGGCTCCATGAGTTCAGATCCTGGAAGCCATCATCTTGGCCAGCAAGATCCTCAAGCAGCAGCGCGAACTGCAGCTTGCAATCTTGATCTCCTTTCTGATGCTGCGTTGGCAAGCGAGGTCAACACTATCCAACCCTTGCTCAACGGCATGCCCCAGCAGCCTCCGACTCACGCTAGAGTCAAGAGTTATCCGGATACTATTGAGGGATATGCGGATCGTGCGCGAGCAGATCCGCCAATTCTCGCAGCTGCATTTGGTCCACAGCCTCAACAACCAGCGTACGAGGATTACAACCTGTTCCTTGACGATTACACGACACCGCAGCATTTCCTCCCTCCACACTTTGAGCCCGACCAACAGATGAACTTTTTTGCTCGATCTCCGGCCGTGTTTCAACGTGGGGGCTCAAAGCCGAGTTCACAGCTGCCCTCCCGCTTCGGATCTCTTGCGCCGGATGTACAGGAGCCCAGCTCTCGACTACACGAGGAGACTTCGCGCTCGCCCCTACGTATATCGGTAGTTGACCACGGCGTCATAAAGAATCGTCTGGAAGAGTTCTCGTCTGTTCTACCGACTGATTTCGTCTTCCCTTCTCGCTATACGCTCACCCGCTTCTTGGAGGGATACATTGGAGGGTTCCATGAGCAGCTGCCCTTTCTGCATTTGCCTACGTTGTCGCCCACTGAGATGGCACCAGAGCTACTTCTTGCCATCTTGTCCGTTGGAGCGCAGTACAGGTTTGAGAGTAAGAGAGGATATGCCCTCTGGTATGCAGCAAAAGCCATTGCAATGGAGCAGATACGACGAAGACATAGCTCGGAAATCCATGCCCTCTTGCCAAACGCATCATCCTATAGCCCTCACTCGACGCGGCCTTCTCCTAGCACTTCTTACCGGCATTCCTTTGCTTCAGCGCAATCAGAGAGACCGATTACCCAAGACACGCATCGGGAGCCTTAGTAAGTATATACTTTTACAATTTCCATTTTTTGCATATACTGTTCCATAAGATGCTAATGTGTGGATTTCTAATTGCAGTTCTCCCAACACGCCCCAGTCTAGGTTGGAAACAATCCAGGCCGTCTTACTCCTATTCTCGGTTGGGTTGTGGGGAGCCAAGACAATCCTAAATGAGGCACTGTCTTTGCAGAGCACCCTGGCCATCTTGATTAGAGAAGAAGGGCTTACTGAAGACATCAGCCAAGCAAGCGTCACGGATTGGGATGCTTGGATCAAGCGTGAAGGGGCCACCAGGACTAAGCTGATTGCTTACTCCTTCTTCAACCTTTGCAGTATTGCATATGACTTGCCGCCTCTGTTGGTCACATCAGAACTCAGACTCTCTTTGCCTCTCCCTGCTAGACTCTGGAGGGCGGAGACTGCTTGGCAGTGGCAAGAGCTGCGGCAGTCTACTCCAATGGTGGAGATTACCGTTCACGAGGCCATTGCTCGGCTGTTTGGCCGAACGAACCAGGGACTGCCAAACCATCTATCGTCGCTGGGCTTTTATGTGCTCATTCATGTGCTCATCCAGCACGTGTATTTCTTGAAGCAAACTTCGCTGGCGGCCGGCTTGCCGTTTGAAACACAACGCACCTTGAAGCCGGAGGATGTGGAAGAAGTGACCCAGGCGCTACGGGTATGGCATACTACGGTCGAACAGCACCATTATCTCCTTGCCACAGGATCAGGACCCTTTGCCAGTACAGACTTTTCCCCTGGTGGCCTGTTGGCCTACAACGCGACGGCTCTTCTGCGCCTCGCGTACATTCGGCTATACAGCGATGCCCCTCCATGTAGAGAGCTGCAAACAAGGGACTCGATGCTGATGGCATCAGCCATGATTTCCACACCACTGGTTGTGCGCAGCGTGCGACTCCATGGGGCAGTATTTCAAGCCGTCCATGCATTGTCCATGCTCGTCAAGGCCGGTGTCAATTATGTTGCGAGGACCAAGTCTACAGAATGGAGTATACAGCATTCGCGTAGGTTTTTTCCCCTTGATGCGTTTCTTCTTTCGCTGGATGTGAAAACTAATCTCGTGGTTTAACAGTATGCAACTTTGAATGCGCCCTTCTTTTAGCCAAGTGGCTCTTGACGCTGGCGTCTCTCACACCTTCCGATGCTCCCATCAGCCTTGATGAGAGGAACCTCTTGGAAACAGTGAGGAGGATGCTGGACGAAACCGAATTCGCCGTCCCCGTTGATCCATCTTTGGCTGGCGCAAATTCCAACCCACAGATGGAAACAGCAACCACGGACCCGATGAAGTTGAGGCAGTTGGCGAGTGCGGTAGTACGCCTCTGGGCTGAGACTTTTAAGGGCACGCACATCTTTGATATGATCAAGACAATGGGGGCCAGCTTGGACGGATACGCTGATTTGGTGGACAAGCCGAGGGATCGTGTAGCCTTGGCACCAACTGCGAACATAAATTGAGGCCAAAGATGGGCCAACGATTCGCTGGACGGATCTTGTTAGGTGTCTTGAGAGTATGACGGGCCTTCCATGACCACGTCGGGCGTTATTGGAATACAAGATACCATGCTGGAGCACACTAGCGGGCGAGCAACGGCTTACAGTCAATGGGAATATGGGACATTTGATTTTGGTATATAGGGGACAAAATTGCACACATTGGATGGCTTAGGCAGATTTTGGATAACCGCCGGATCCGGAACTAGGGTATGGGAGTGGAAGGAGTTTGTACATGTGTAACACGCAGTTTGTTGAGCGCAAATGAATGGAATACCCCCTTCTCTGTAACTCTGTAACACACTCAGGTGTCATATTATGAATCAATGAGTGGGATCGCAGACTCGCCAGATTGCGGGGGATCTCGATACAAGCTGGGGTATTTTGAGGGCAGCTGATGAATAGTAAGCATTTCCCGTTATGGACACTAGACATCTAACGATTACCTTGACGAATAGTGAGGGTAAAGCGTGTACGTAGCACACGAGAGAGACTTGTAGTATTGCTATAGGAGTGGTAGTACTCAATCCAGTTCAACGTCGGACGACAATTAAGGGAACCGAGGGAAGATGCACACACACTAAACGGGAATGCTGCTCCACTCGCGTCAGGATTACTCATCCCCCGGGAAACGAAGCACGACATCTTGGGTAACTTTGCTTTTAGCATCCGGGTGATGCGGTTAGATGATGACGATGGTCCAAATTACAAGGTACGTGTACACAAAAGAGGATGAGTTTGTTCATCCAAGGCACAGCAGAGTGTTACAGAGAGGATGTAGTACAAAGAAGCCATAGCAGCAGCCATAGCAGCAGCCACTCACTGTATAGTATCTTTCTCGTCTCTGTAGGTATTTTAGCATGTGAAGTCCGGGGGGCTTAGCCTACCTCTAACCTAGAGCCCCAAAGTATGGGATGGGGCCTAAGCTAACATGCAAGGGAAAGGGCCATCGGAGGGTGGGGCATCTGTCAGCGTACATGATAGACTTGCCTCGGCATAAGGCTATTTGTTCGGGAGCGGTAATCTGGGGTCTAGAAGGGGACCTGCTCCTCGTAAGACTTTCTGACGTTATAAGAAGTGCAGCTTGTGTTCGTGCTTTTATTTGCGATTGACAAAGAAAGAAAGAGAGCGTTTTTTACTTGACTTTGGGTTCGGATGCTGGAATAGAGAGACGATACACAAGACAAGGAAACAGACAGGACTTGCGCAAGACATAGAACAAGAACGCGACGTCACCTCTCGAACGATGCCTTTCAACACAGAGCTCACCCGCCGTCTAGGCATTCGCGGTATGTGCCTTTCTTTGCTGTTCCTCTTGCCTTCGTCAGCTAACAAGTTCCCTCTCGTCCTCCAGTCCCCGTCATCCAGGGCGGCCTGATGCACGTCGGCACCGCAGACCTCGCGTCCGCAGTCTCCAACGGCGGCGGCCTGGGCATCATCACCGCCCTCATCTCCCCCACGCCCGAAGCCCTGCGCGCCGAGATCCAGCGCTGCCGCACCCTCACCGACAAGCCCTTTGGCGTCAACCTGACCCTCCTGCCGTCCCTCCTCCCCCCCGACTACCCGGCCTACGCCCAGGCCATCATCGACGAGGGCGTCAAGATTGTCGAGACGGCCGGAAACTCGCCCGGCCCGGTCATTCGCCAGCTCAAGGCCGCGGGCATCACGGTGCTGCACAAGTGTACTACGATTCGTCACGCTCAGAGCGCGATCAAGCTGGGCGTTGATTTTTTGAGCATTGATGGGTTTGAATGTGCGGGTCATGTTGGCGAGAGCGACATTACGAATTTTATTTTGTTGAGCAGGGCGAGGCAGACGCTGAATATTCCGTTTATTGCTTCGGGAGGGTTTGCTGATGGGCAGGGACTTGCGGCGGCGCTGGTGTTGGGAGCTTGTGGTATCAACATGGGCACACGGTAAGCTTCAACCTTGCATATAGATGGATTGCTGGAAACACCATCACTAACGAAATATCTTCGAACAAAAAGATGGGTAGCAACCCAGGAGTCGCCGGTACATGTGAATATCAAGGAGGCCATCGTCAAAGGTCAGGAGACGGACACGACGCTGTTGTTGAGACGCTGGACAAACACCACGAGGCTGTACAAGAACAAGGTGGCCACGGATGCGCTGAAAATTGAGAGGGAGAGCAAGACGGGCGAATTCTCGGAAGTAGCGCCTTATGTCAGCGGAAAGAGAGGGAAGGAGGTCTTCATTAACGGTGACCCGGAATATGGCGTGAGTTTCCCCCCCCCTTTCCTTCCAAGTTGCTTCTTGGATCTCTTATTGTTTCGCCTTACTGACAACGGTGGGGATTTATAGGTCTGGACGACGGGCCAGGTCATGGGCCTTATTCACGACATCCCGACTTGCGGCGAACTGTGTGCTCGTATTGAGAAGGAGGCGGAGACTGCGCTGAGGGAGAAGCTGGCTTTGATTGTGCCTGATTCGAAGCTATAAGGGATGAAATAACGGCATGGGTTTAGTCGATAATAATGAATGAAATAAAGTTCCCTTTTTACTGAGTCTCAACTTTATGCTACCCAGAACAGCTGCTTGTGTGTTATGACATCTCTCCCAGTCGGCATCTCAAGTTGTGTATCCAGCGTCCCGGAGATCATACTATCATAAAGATGCGGAACAAGTGTCTTTGAAGGCTGGCGCTTTGGATGTCTGCGAGTGTCGTTGCTGTCTCTGGTGTCTGCTGGTGTCGCTACCTTTTCTGCTGTCCACTACTATCACTCATTTTAGGGCATCTGCTAGAGCATGCAGGTATTAGTGAACTCTTACTGTCGTCCCGTCAGTCCATAACGTGAAATCATCTCCTTCCCGAATTTCAATGTCTAGCTCGATATTATCTTCGTTGGGAACCAGGGCAGGATCTATACTAAATGCTGCTGGATTGTAGTTGTAAAGATCTTGACATGAGTCGGGCTCTAGCGGCTGCATATGGGACAAAGTGATAGGCGTCTGTTGTCTGCTTGGCTGCGTCTCGGGTACACGACTTACGAGTCTTCAATGGCCTTGTGGCACGAGATCACCCGGGTTCGGGGTTTGGTATATACTCCACCGCCATAACGCTCATAGCTGAGACAGCTAGGGCTTGGAATCCAGAACCTACTTTCAAGACACAAAAGGTTCTCGGACGTTGCCGACATATGCTGGGATCTTCCACGAAGACAGAGAAGAATACAAAGGGCGAAGCCGCTCCGGAAGCCGCCCCCTATGTGGGATTATCGACAAATACCTAGGTAGTACCTACTAGATACAGTGAAACATGTTGAGCACCTAACTAACCCGTAGAACGCCTATTTAGCCAGCATTAGAACTTTATTATATAAATATAGTAGCAGTTACTGGAAATATGTGAATATAGTAGTAGTTACTAGAAGAATGTAGATATAGTAGCAGTTACTAGAAGCATGTAGATATAGTAGCAGTTACTAGAAAACTGTAGATGTAGTAGTAGTTACTAGAGAAATATAGGTGTAGTAGATACCTACTTGAAGAGTTAGGATTTGTAGGTGTATAACCTTGTAGGTGTATAACCTTGTAGGTGTATAACCTAACGCATACCTAGGTGCTCGTAGTCTTCCCAGTCTCGGTTTTTCTGTCCTCCGCTTGCTATCATGTTGTTGCCGGATTAAAGAAGGGCCTCCATCTATCAATAGAGGTACCTTAGACACAGAGAAACATCTTCAGAAATTACTACCAAGGTGCATATTTACATTAATACCTAGCACTTCATATACATTGCCTCGCATCAGAGTGTACTATGTGCAAAAGAATCGAAATAACGATTGATCCTACTTCTTGGACCCGCCCCATCGTGTCCTTGCCAGCTTCAACAAGAGCCAAGCCAATAGTCGGTATACTACCAAGCACCCAGCCAAGGCCGCCACATTCACCACCGGATTGTCGTCAAAATCATACAGCTGGAGGACCTGCTTGCCCGTCGTAATCGGACAGGTACCGTTTGCAAGCTGCTGCCCTGGCTTGCAGTAAAAGGTTTCATCACGTAAGGCATAGGGGGCGATCGATCGTGATGCGTATCGGATAGGCGAGAGGTAGTTGAGCGCCTTGAAAGCCTTCGGGGCGTTGATGGACAGCACACCGGCCATGGCAGTGGCAATGGAAAGGAACATGCCCATGATGTTGACAGCGAAGCCGGTATGGTTGACGATGGTGTTGAACATGATTCCAAGACTCTCGCCACAGGAGACTATCCCGAAGCAGCCAAAGACGGAGACAAAGTACATGGTTGCCGTCCTGGGAAGGCCAACAGCGAGGCACATCAAGATGCCGAAAAGAAGGCAGCTGAGAATCTCAAAAGGGACCTCGAGGATCGTGTAGGAAAGCAGAAATGCGTCCACGCTGTACACGCCATCATCATCTTCTCGATAGAAGACGTCTCGCTCGGTGGGGTAGATTGCCACATTTTGCAGCATACCAACAAAGTAAAAGGCACCGACCTCCTGTATGAAGCCCATCCAGTTCTGCACGGCGTAGTAGTCGTGATGCAGTGGTGCGAAGAAGAGTGCGAAGATGATGGCCAATCCTACGACTTGCATTGTCCGAGCCATGATGAGCTGAGGCTGCCGGCGCGTGTTGATGACGGCGCGATGCAGAAGCAGAGGCACAGCGGTGGCGAGAGAAGCACGCTTGTGGACAAGAGCGCCCAGTTCTGCTGGCGTTGAAAGGTTGGCTTTGTTGAAGGACATGCGAGAGGTGGCAGGCTGAATATTTGGAAGAGGGTCGCCGTCGTCGTTCACCACTGCTATATCACCATCCAATTCTTTCTTTTCGTCCAGTTCGTCGGTTTCAGTTATCTCTGGAAGCCTTGACCCTTCCTCCTTCTTCCATTGCTGCTCCTTGTCTCCTCCAGATGAATATCTTTTCCACTCATCGATGAGCTTTTCAACCCGATCTCTACTCTCCGCTTCTCTATCATCTCGCTGTAAGTCAACAGTAATCATATCCAAGGCAAAGTCTGCCGGGTTTGAATGCTGCGGACATTGGTATCCCTGCCTATTAAAATAATTGAGCATGTCCTTGGCGCGACCGGCATAGGCTGGGGCACCGCCACGGGCAAGGAGTAGCACGTTGCCAAAGTGTTTGAACAAATCTGATCGAGGTTGATGGATAGTTAGAATCAGTGTTCTTCCTTCTTGAGCAAGTCCTTGAAGAACTTCCATGATCGAGTTTGCGGTGAAGGCGTCCAGTCCAGATGTTGGCTCGTCCAGGAGAAGGATGCGAGGATCTGTAAGGATCTGCACAGCGATGGATACTCGCCGTTTTTCTCCTCCTGAGATGCCCTTGACTAAATCGTTACCAATCAAGTTGTCTGCACAATCTTTCAATCCCATTTTCATAAGAATCTCCTCGGCGCGGCGATACTTTTCTTCCTTGCTCATAAACGAAGGCAGTCGTAGCGCGGCAGAAAACCTCAATGTTTCACGAACTGTCAACGAAGGCAAAAGAGCATCATCATCTTGGCAGACATATGAGCAGACAGATCGAACAACCGATGAAGACGGAACTGCTCCGTTGAAAGACATTTTACCGGATGGGCGATAGTGAGTGCTTATCGAGTTGCGGAGTCGGAGTGCCATTGAGTTGAGAAGGGATGTTTTACCGCTTCCAGATGGACCCATGATGATATTCAAGGTACCGGCCTGGAAAGTCACATTAATTGGCTTAACAATAGTTTTTCGAGGCAGCTTTTTACCATTGGAAGCTCTTTTATCAAGATCGAGAGAGAAATTCTCCAGTTCAACATCGATGGTGCGAACCTCTGCAATGGACCTTGCAGTCATCTTTTCCTTTCCAGCTGACAGGTCCGTGTCTGAGACTCGTGGCCGAGCGATAGTCATTTCGACCTTAATATAGTGCAGACCAATCGCCGATAGGATGAAGAAGAAAATGACAAACGCCGCAAGGCAGACAATCGGGCGAGCAATCCAATTTCTGGGGAATCCGAGTGAGGACATGATGTAGTCTCCTGTATACTGAAGGCATGCGGGATTAGATGGCCCACCCGGCTCGGGACAGTCGTAGAAGCTGCCTTGGAACTCATTTCCACAATACGCTCCAAAGGTGTAAAACTGTGGTACTGGTGTTAGCTCATCATCCCTACAAGAAGCCTCCAGTATACGATTTTTGAGAGTATAAAAGGTGGAACTCACCGACCAAGTCACCCACTTCAACCATCGAACATAGACTGGGATGGTATCAACTTGGATGAATATACCACACGCTATGCTCTGCAGCGTAAAAGCAAAATTGGCAATCAAACTAGCACCCGGGAAGTGTCTGACTGTCACGACACATGTGAATGCGCACATGATGCAAGCAAAATGGTTGACAAAGCTGATACTGAAGAACGTAAAGAACTTGGCGGCATCGTGATCGAATCCCGCCATGAAGTATAGAATGAGAGAGAACAGAAAAGGGACAGGGAAGTCCTCCGTAACGAGTCGTGCGAGGCGTCGTGACAAGATGTAGGGTACGGCATCCACGCAGTGCTCCGAAGACTCGCGATCAAATGTCGGCATATCAATAGTCAGGCGGTATGTTTCAAACATCAAGATCAGGTAGCCCTGAAGACCCACGCATATGTAGAGGAGACCTTCCCTAGATCTAATGCCAGCCTGATCGCGACCGACATTGTAGAACAGGTAGCCTATCACGAGCCCCATGATGATGGCCTCTAAGATAGACGCCGTCATGCCAAGTGGATCTCGGTATGTGACCTTTAGGGTACGGTCTGTCAAGATGCGTACCTGGCGGAGGAATCCGGCATGAGTCGTTGCCTTTGAGTGTTTGTCCCGCCTCATCTCGGCGATGCCCTGTAGTGCCGGGAAGCGGCTTTCGCTCTCTATTCTCCATGCTGCTTTCAGGCTTTCGAGACGAGTGGAAGTGTCTGCCTCTAGTTCTGGGGTACGGTTGTCCACGGCAGCAATGTCAATAACGAATTCTGCTGGATTCACAAACGGAGGCAGCTGATGGCCAAGATCCTTGAACCAGGGGAGACATTCGGAGACCGGGCCGGAGAAGACCGGGCTTCCCTTGGATAGGATGATGAGGTTGTCAAACAGGTCCCAAATCTCGGATCGAGGCTGGTGAATTGTCGTGATGATGTTTCTGCCTTTCTGAGCCAAGGCCTTTAAGGTCCTAATGAGCTGGAAGGCGCTAGTTGCATCCAGACCGGTGGTGGGTTCGTCGAGGAACAACACGGATGGGTTCGACAAAAGCTGTACTCCGATGCTCACACGTCTCTTTTCGCCTCCAGAGCAGCCACGATGCTGGCTATTTCCTATGCGTGTGTTGGCGCATTCTTTGAGGCCCAGTTCACGGATAACCTCCTCGACGATCCTCTCGCGGTCCTCGGCGCTAGTAGACGAAGGTAGTCGGAGATCAGCCGAGTATCTTAGAGTCTCCCGAACCGTCAAAGTCGGTAGTAAGATGTCCTGTTGCATAACATAGGCGTGCCTTACGCTGTTCACACCGATCTGCCCATTAAATACCGCCAGG